ACATGTGATGTTAAAGCTATTGGTCTGTAACTTTCTGCAGCAGAAGGATCTTTACCTGGTTTACAAATAGGAACTACAATTGCCTCTTTCCATTGCTCTGGCAGTCTACTCTCTACCCATACTTTGTTATACAACTTTAACAACACAATCTTACTTCTATCACTCAAGTTTCTCAGCATACAATAGCTTATGTCATCCTCTCCAGGGGTAGTATTGCCACATCTGCTTAATGCCCTGTTCAACTCCCAAATACTGAACTCATCATTAATTGCATTGTCACACTCCTCCACATCCTCAAGACTATTCAAATTACATCTAACTGTTTCCCGCCTTCCTCTCCTTTCTTCTTCACTTAAATTTCCATTACTATGGACTTTCACAAACTGCTGAGCTAAAAGATCAGCCTTGCCTTTATTAGTTAAAATTACACTTCCACCAGATGACATTGCTGGATACCCAAAACTAGCTTTACTTCCTCCCATTCTCCTAATTGTCCCCCATATTTGACCCACTGATGTTTGCCTCCCTAAAGTATCACAATATCGTGCCCAGTATGCTCTTTTAGTTTCTTTAACAACTCTCCTTACTACAGCGAGCTTCCGTTTATAGTCACACAGATTTTGGAAACAATGATTCCTCTTAAACACTTTAAAAGCCTTGTTTCTATCCTTAATAGCATTATTACATTCATCTGACCACCAAGGAACACTCTTCCTTTGAGCCTTTCCTCCTTTCTTCTTGATTGTCTGTTTGGCTGCCTCCAAAATTGCACTACATAGAGAACTATTAAAATCATTCACACTTCCATTAACATTTACTCTTTCCATTTCCCTATCACATATGTAACTAAATCTATCCCACTTAACACCACTAAAACTCCATTTCCCTACCCCCTCTGTGGTAACTTCTTCAACACTGAATCCCAACTCAACCTCTACAGGATAATGGTCACTACCTATAGTAGTCTCCTTATCAACCCTCCACTTACAATTCCCTGCAATAGACTCTGACACTAGAGTAAGATCTAGTGCAGATTCATTCCCATTCCGGAAGTCAATCCGTGTTCCACTCCCATCATTCAGACACACTAAATTCCTAGCATCCAATAATTCCTCAATCACTGCCCCATTCTCATCATTCTGTTCACCCCATAATGTGCTATGTGCATTAAAATCACCACAACATACTACTTTACCCTAGGTGATCATCCAGTTCCCGCAACGTATCCATTGTTAGCCTCCTACAGGGATTATAGAAATTCACCAGGGTAACTTTCCCCTCACTCACCCACACCTCTACCACAATAAACTCAAGCTCTGTCCCCTTCCTTACCACCCTATACTGCATTCCATTTTTAATAAAAACAGCACACCCTCCACCATTACCACCTTGTCTATCCCTACGCACACATTCATACCCCCTAATCACAAAATCCAATGATGGCCTGAGCCACGTTTCCTGAACACATATAATATCAGGTCTCCTCTCCTTGTTCAGCACATAACCTTTTAACTCCTGCCCATTAGCCATTAAACTCCTTGCATTCCATTGAATGATTTTCATACTACTCTCTCACTTCCCCCTCCCACAACCATTCTCTTCTCCTCCTCCAACCTTTTGTTCACCTGTTCCCAGGAAACACCTCTCATACCGAGGTACTTTTCCGCTCCTTTCACAATAATCTTAATTTTATCTGTTTTATGCTTTGCCTGATCTGCACAATTTATGACATATGCTAGAAACACCATCAAATTATCCACCGACACCATACTACCCTCACTCACACTCTGCTTCTTCCCTCTAGCATCACTCTGGTCACCACTCACTCCTGGGTCTTGATTTTGAACTTTCCTCACTGCATCTGCGTAAGAGACACCGTTCATAACCTTCACTCTCTGAATCTCCACCGCTTTTTTCCTTACGTCACATCCCCCATAGGTTACAGCATGTTGCCCTCCACAGTTACTACATTTAAGAGTACTGTTTTCATTACACTCCTCTACTCTGTGCTCCCCACTGCATCTAGGGCACTTCTGCCTCCCCCTACAGACCGCTGCCACATGCCCATACAGTTGGCATTTATAACACCGGAGAGGAGGCGGTACAAACTCTCTCACGGGAAAACTCAAACACCCCACCTTCACTTTTTCAGGGAGTACTGCACCTGTAAACTCCAGTAAAACCGATAAGCTTTGCACACTCTGACCATCCACTCGCCTCATCAACCGTCTAATTCCACTGACACCTCCACCTAAACACTGCCTAAACCTCTCCAGGTCCTCGTCTAAGGGGACACCTGTTATGACCCCACGCACAGCCTTTTTTCCTCCAACTACTCTCCTTTCAGTCACTGCTATCTTGCACACATGTTCCAACTGCAACACTTTCTTTTTCTGCTCTTCCGAAGTACACACAATCAACAAACTCCCATCTCTCAGCACCTTTGCCACTTCTACCTCTCCTATTTTCTTTCTCAACTCCCTTGACAAAACAACCAGGCTCACATTTTTTATATCATTCTCCTGCCAAAACTTAAGAATTACTTTAGGATTCTGCTGCTCCCTAACTATCCTTTTGCGGCCCGAGATCCCCTCATCTGAACTATTCCCATCCAACCCCCGTTTCCTAACCTGGCTACTGCTCAATCCCCCCTCACTCCTACTCCTGTCAAACGCACCCGAACTCCCTAATTCCTGACTAAACTGCATCAAGTCCTCGTCATCGTCCGCCAAGGACGCCATCCCGGCCCAGTCACAGATCGGATTATGCCAACCACCAAGTGATATTTATCCAAACAAGTGTTTTATTAGATGTATATAACCCGCACGATACGCTCCACTCCCAGCGTCTGCTCCTCGGCCTCTTCCGCACCCAGGAATCGCTGGCGTGACATTATATTTTAGATCGAGTTTTGATGAAACAAGGAAGAGAACGTGTTTCGGGTCGCAGATTGTGACCAATCACAGCGCACCACTAGCCCCCACTTTCGTGAAAAATCTACAGGTCCGTTAGCATAGACAGCTGAGTTAGCACAACAAGCGGCGGAGCTAACCTGAAGCTTCCTCGTCTTCGTCACCGGTTACTGCTTACACAGCGAGACAGCCATCCAAAATAAAGTATTGTTCCTCCGCGCTTCCCGGTTCTATCGTTCTATGGTCACGCCATCCACGTGCAAATCCATATCCATGTATTATCCATATTGAGAGACGCTAGCTCCGTCCCAACAGTGGGTGTGTGTGGGGGGTGATAGCTTCGTGGGTGCAGGGAGGGGAGCAGAGAGAGAGAGGCCAGCGAGTCCGCGGCTTCAAAATCCCAAAGTCAGTTAGTGCAGCTTTAACAAGCTTCTGTACCTTAGCAACCATTGTCATTATCGAAATGAAGACAAGCACACAGAGGAGAAAAAGCAAACTATGTCTACATTTAACAATAAATAGTATAAGTAAAGATTAAACAACAAGGAGCAGTGCAGTTGTAGAGTTTAAATTAACAATGCAGTCTAAACGGGTGTTGTTACCGCTTGTTGAAATCATACATCCATCCATCCATCCATTTTCTACCCCTTAATCCATTTCTGGGTCAGGGGGGTGGCAATCAGGGATGCCACCCAAGTCTCATAGCACCAGCCCCTCACTGACCCTCTGCAGGTGGTGAGTCCACAGGAGGACGGCTGCTCTCTGAGTGTGAGCATAGCCTTGATCTTTCAGTGGGGGCTTTTGGGCAAAGTGGGGTTAAGTGTCTTGCCCAAGGACACAACGACAGCAGTCATCAGTGGGAGTCGATGGAGAAGGTGCAGAGGTGGGAATTGAACCCACAACCTTCTGGCCTTAAGGCCAATGCTCTACCAACTGAGCTACTGTCGCCCCTGAAATCATACAACCACACTTAATTCAAGATCTTGCTGTATAATAGCCTTGTAAAACAACATCATAATTGAAACTGTAAGTTAACTGTATGTGCACAATCTGTGTGTCTCAGGCTGAGTGATATGGAACCTGTCACTGTGCTGTTTAAACTGTATTAATCAATGCTAGTTTGTGTTGGGATTCTCACTAACATGCCATGTCTCTACAGTTTCATGTGTTGTTTGATAATAGTATACATCAATATAAATCAAATCAAAAATAAACACGTTAAACTGGATAAAATAAATGATACACACAGGTGCATTTTTTGTACCCTGCATCATTGTGTTAAAAATTCTTCATTAGATTATGTACATACAAAGTAGTAAGAACTGGCCCCTGGATTATAGCATTTTCTATTTAAAATGGCTGTAGATGTTCTTACACACTCTGTAGAAGTGCAATCAGCCAACAGTGGCAGTTATGTAATTATGTGTTTCTGTTGACAGGCATTTTCTGGTTGGACAAGTCAAAACCTATCTGTATTTATAACAGTTTGGCCTGACTGTTCAGTTTTTGATGTTATGAAGAGAGTGCATTTCTTACACACATAAACCCGGACAAGTTCAGACTCAATTCACATTAGGAAAACGATTCCCTAAGGCAAAAAAAGAATTGATTAAGTAAAATAAACTTAAAAAGTAAAACGAAACACAAATCACTATATGGAGTCATATCCAGTTGATGTGTAAGTTTTCCAATTTAAGAACTAATATGTTTATGTTCAGTTAACTTAACTTGTTAGGGGAAGAAAACTTTATTATTTTAGTAGTGTCAATATTAGAAAACTCAAATGTTTGTGTGGTACTACTTTAAAGCTCATATATTTAATTAAAGCTAACTTAAAATGTCAAGGCAAACACACTCAATACCTCAATATCAACAAGAACATGCTAATGACCAGAAAAGGCAGTTTTTTAAAAGCAATTTAATTAAAAATTGCTTTGTCCCAGAATTCGTTCAGGCACGTATGGTTCTCCAAGTGATGTGCGTGAGTCAGTCCAAACAGGAGACACTTTTCCCAAAGGAAGACTGCAGAATCCAGAAGGATGCCAACTTCTTTGTCTGGACTTGAATTTTCACCATCGATTATGATTTCTATGGGATGTGGGTCACCATCAGCTGCATTCTGAAAAGGGGAAACAAGAAGAAACAGTGAGTAACCCGTTTGTGGAGAGCAATAAATCGAATTTAGGCAATTAATCGGCTTTTGAAAAAATCATTCTTGAAAAATGTGAAAATCGTGAAATCGAATGAAGGACGAAGTGAGCATTCCAGCAGCACATGAACTATACTTGCAATATCAGCACAGTCTGTACAAGACTTTTATAATATGTATTGAGGGAAACAAAATAAAAATGGTTTTGAAACTTGATTATTGAGCGGAAAGACCAAAAAATATTCTTAAGGGCAAACTTTGAAAATCGATTTAAAATCGAAATTGTCCAAAGCAGGAAATAAAATCGAGCTTTTACTTTTTTGCCATATCGACCAGCCCTAACCAAGATTAAATTATGAGGCCAACTCACCTTATGTTTGCCTACATATCCTGTCCTTCTGGTGAAGACCTCTTTAAAGCCAAGGTAAAAACCACCCAGAGAAGAAAATCATTCTCCAGAGGAGGTTTTTCCAGCAATTATGTTGAATTCCAAATTGACCTATAAACAAGCCCCAGCTATTACTTTAAAAAATATAACATAAGATTTATAATAATAAACAAACAAACCTGGCATTCAGTCACTTCTAAACAATACGGCTTTGAAGGAGAAAGGAAAGAACATTTTAGAGTAATATGTGCTACTTTGAGCAACCATATCGCCCAAACCCCACAACAGTTCTGTGTAACCTTATCTTTACAGTAAATATATGATTAAAAGGATCTAAATATAATATAAAAGTGTCACACCAGCTTGCATGGACTTTACGTTCCCTGAGCTCAGTGTTGCCAACTTATCGACTTTGTCGCTAGATTTAGCGACTTTTCAGACCCTATAGCGACTTTTTTTCAAAAAAGCGACTAGCGACAGATCTAGACAAAGCATTAAAATCATTAAATGTTGTTAATGTTGAAATTATTTTTGTACATTTGTAGTTCTAAACATATTTAGGGTGTTTTTACTCACTTTTGTCTCTCCCACGACGTTATTCCTCTCTCCTACAGCGTCCGTTACAGTTATTTGCAAATTGCCAATTTTGCAAATTAGGCGATGACGTCATTTAGCGACTTCTAGCGACTTTTGGGACAGCCAATAACTACTTTCCTTACTGAGGAGTCGGCAACACTGCCTGAGCTCTGCCCCACAGCTTGTGAACCACACTTTCAATGTAGTCAGGTGTTCAGAACCCGGGGGAAAAAGAATTTGTGAAATTTAGTTGTGAAATTGAATTGATACACTTGATAATTGATACATTTGTATTCTAATTATTTTTTAAATGTGTGCGTTCCCACTTCAGCAGCGGTGGTTCTGCCACGGCGGACGGAGGAGGCAGAGGGCGCATACACAGCATTCGTTCAGAGGGGCAGGTGTAGGACAGGTCGCTCCTTCTTTCTCCTCCCGCTCCCACAATCACTTTGGTTCCACCATGACACTACCAGCGAAAGTGAGCGCACTGAACTAACTCTTTAGTTCAAAGTAAAGACTTTATTCTCTGGTTTGCAGCAGTAGCACCAGAGTTAGCTTAGCTTAGCTTACATTTCAAACATCCAGCGGGCTCAGCAACAGCTCCGTGCTTTTCCCACGAACACTGGAACGGACTCTCCTCTCTGCTCCTGCTGGTCCCCTCTCTGCTCCTGCTGGTCCCCTCTCCGCTCCTGCTAGTCCCCTCTCTGCTCCAGCGTCTGCGGGAAAAGAACAGGAGCTGGTCGCTCATGTCGCTATGTCACCGGAGTCCGGTGTGTAAGCTTCAGAGACAGAGACTGGCTCAAGCCCCGGCGATCCAAGATGGCCACCTATTCAAATGAATGGTTGTGCTCAGTGGCGCTTTGTGACGGCATGGCATGGATCTATTATATTAACTGGATAGGGTATTACTAGCTTGTAGCGGAATAACTCATGTGCTCGGGGGATTCTCGCGGTACTGTGGACTGAACCAGACTAAATTCACGTGGGCTACCCAGAAATTTTCCCCATAGAACTCAATGCATATTAAATCATAAAGGTCTGATTTTGTGGGGATTTTAGTGTCCCTTGTCATCCTGAACTTTTTTTCTTCTTAAATCCTTCGGTTTTGTTTAAATCCACACTTTAGTGCCACAAACTCTGCTCGTCTGGCTCTCGCTCTAACTCCCGCTCTGATTGGTCAGAGCGCGGCCGAGCCCCTCTGTGCACGTGCGTGAGACCCACACACACGTGTTGGCGCAACGCATTATGGGAGATCATCCACTGCGCAGAACCGGGAGGACCAGACGATGCCCAAATACAGGTGAGTTTCCCATAGATCTTTGCGAGTTCCAGGCGACTTCCGCTAATCTTTCAGCCGCCATGCCGTCACAAAGCGCCACTGAGCACAACCATTCATTTGAATAGGGTTCCATTTTGGATCGCCGGGGCTTGCGGCATGGAGAGGGGACTTCAACGCCCATGTGGGAAACGCCAGTGACACTTGGAGAGGGGTGATCGGGAAGAGCGGCCCCCCTGATCTGAACCCGAGCGGTGTTCAGTTGTTGGACTTCTGTGCCAGTCACAGTTTGTCCATCACGAACACCATGTTCGAGCACAAGGGTGTCCACCAGTGCACGTGGCACCAGGACTCCCTAGGCCGGAGGTCGATGATCGACTTTGTTGTCGTATCATCTGACCTTCGACCACGTGTCTTGGACACTCGGGTAAAGAGAGGGGCGGAGCTGTCAACCGATCATCACCTGGTCGTGAGTTGGATCCGCTGGCAGGGGAAGAAGCCGGTCAGACCTGGCAGACCCAAGCGTATAGTGAAGGTCTGCTGGGAACGTCTCGCTGAGCCCCCTGTCAGACGGACTTTCAATTCACACCTCCGGGAGAGTTTCTCCCAGGTCCCGGCGGAGGAGGGGGACATGGAGTCCGAGTGGACCATGTTCTCTGCCTCAATCGCCGATGCGGCGGCTCGTAGCTGTGGTCGCAAGGTCTCTGGTGCTGGTCCCGGCGGCAACCCCCGAACCCGGTGGTGGACACCGGCAGTAAGGGATGCTGTCAGGCTGAAGAAGGAGTCCTATCGAGCCATGATGGTTCGGGGGACTCCTGAGGCAGCTGTCCAGTACCGGCAGTCCAAGCGTGCCGCGGCCCGGGCTGTTGCAGAGGCAAAAACCCGGGACTGGGAGGAGTTCGGAGAGTCCATGGAGCATGACTATCGGTCTGCCTCGAAGAGATTCTGGCAAACCATCCGGCGCCTCACGAGGGGGAAGCAGTTCTTTGCCAACACCATGTACGGTGCGAGTGGAGAGCTGCTGACCTCGACTGGAGATATTGTCGGGCGGTGGAAGGAATACTTTGAGGTTCTCCTCAATCCCCCCGTCACGTCCTCTGTTTCAGGGGCAGAGGCTGAGGATGTTGGGGCGGATACATCCATCTCCCTGGCTGAGGTCACCAAGGTGGTTGGTAGCCTCCATGGTGGCAAGGCTCCGGGTGTGGATGAGATCCGCCCTGATTATCTAAAGTCTCTGGATGTTGTAGGACTGTCTTGGCTGACACGTCTCTGCAACATCGCGTGGCGATTGGGGGCAGTGCCAGACCGGGATGGTGGTCCCTCTCTACAAGAAGGGGGACCGGAGGGTGTGTTCCAATTATTGTGGGATCACACTCCTCAGCCTCCCCGGTAAGGTCTACTCCAAGGTACTGGAGAGGAGGCTACGGCCGATGGTCGAATCTCGGATCCAGGAGGTGCAGTGTGGTTTTCGTCCCGGTCGCGGAACACTGAACCAGCTCTATACTCTCCATCGGATACTCGAGGGTTCATGGGAGTTCGCCCAACCTGTCCACATGTGCTTTGTGGATTTGGAGAAGGCGTTCGACTGTGTTCCCCGGGGTGTCCTTTGTGGGGTTCTCCGGGAGTACGGGGTCGGAGGCCCTCTGCTGAGGGCCATCCGATCCCTGTATGACCGGAGCCAGAGCTGTGTTCGCATTGCCGGCAGTAAGTCAGACCTGTTCCCGGTGAATGTTGGCCTCCGACAGGGCTGCCCTTTGTCACCGGTTCTGTTCACTGCATTTATGGACAGAATATCTAGGCGCAGCCAGGGGTCGGAGGGGGTCCGGTTCGGAGACCACAGGATTTCATCTCTGCTGTTTGCGGACGATGTTGTCCTGTTGACTCCAACGAACCAGGACCTGCAGCATGCACTGGGGTGGTTTGCAGCCGAGTGTGAAGCGGCTGGGATGAGAATCAGCACCTCCAAATCCGAGGCCATGGTGCTCGACCGGAAAAAGGTGCCTTGCCCTCTGCAGGTGGGTGGAGAGGTCCTTCCTCAAGTGGAGGAGTTCAAGTATCTCGGGGTCTTGTTCACGAGTGAGGGAAGAATGGAGCGTGAGATTGACAGGCGGATCGGTGCAGCGTGCGCAGTGATGCGGTCGCTGTATCGGACCGTTGTGGTAAAGAGGGAGCTGAGCCGAAAGGCAAAGCTCTCGATTTACCGGTCAATCTTTGTTCCCTCCCTCACCTATGGTCATGAGCTTTGGGTAATGACCGAAAGAACAAGGTCGCGGATACAAGCGGTCAAAATGAGCTTCCTCCGCAGAGTGGCTGGGCGCTCCCTTAGAGATAGGGTGAGGAGCTCAGTCACACGGGAGGAGCTCGGAGTAGAGCCGCTGCTTCTCCACTTCGAGAGGAACCAGTTGAGGTGGCTCGGGCATCTGTTCCGGATGCCTTCTGGACGCCTCCCTGGGGAGGTGTTCCGGGCAGGGCTGGACTGGGACAAAAAAACGGCCCGGGCATTTTTGCCTTCTTGGCGGCCCAGGCATGTTTTTTCACGTTTTTTACAGTTTGTTTATACCAGGCGTCTGCAACTCAAAAGGTTCAAAGAGCCAAAAACAACATCTGTCTAGAGCCGCAAAAAAAAAACAGCCTTGTATAAGGCTTATATGAAGGTAACACAGGCTGCAGCTGTATTAGCTACATTAGCTTAATATCTAAATGACAAAGTAAAGGCTACAAATGCATAATAAGCATTCATGATTATCAAATATGTATTTTCACTGCAGCGTGTCCTGGAGAGAATGACGCACCACGTGACGACTCTGGTTTAACTTTCACTTCCATTTTTTGTCTTCATGCAATTGTAGAAATACAGTAAATAAATCTGCTTTTTGGCTCAGAGTTCACATCACAGGCTGAAGTTTGCTGGAGCTGAATGTCCTTAATGGCCTTTTCTTTCACCGTTTTGTATTTGAAGTCTGAAAATAGGTGCTCTGAATTTGCGATGAATGAATCCTTCACGTGATCACCGTGAACGGTGTTTAGCGCATCATTGTTCCTCGTGTTGTAACAAAACTTCTCAATACAAACATGAAGCAGTCCTTCCTCATTGACTGAAAGCAAATGTTCATACTTATTCTTAGTACAGACTTATTATCGACTCTTTCTCTTTTTAGCTTTGGGATCCATGGCACATGCCGGTTTGTTTACAGCAGCAGCCGCCTAACGCGGGCCGCTTCACAGGATATGACGCACTACGTTGACAGAAATGTCGAAATTGAATATTACTTACGCACATTTTTGCAGCATTTAAAAACGTTAAGAATGTTTTTCATCCTACAGAAACCACATTCAAACTAGAAATAAAATATAGCCCTCTGTGAAGGAGTAGTTCCCACTCCTCACCCACAGGTGTATCCTTCCTGTTTTATTTTGAAATATTTAGCTTTGTTTATATTCCCTGTCCCTAACTTTCCCTTTTCCCCTCTTGGAAGGTGATTGGTGGAGGAGCTGGCTGGAGGCGCGCCCATCCCAGTGCATGCCAGGTGCACCCAACTGAGCAATCAGCTGGGCTCCACCATGATCCTCCAAGAGAGGGGTGTTTCATTGGGACTAAACATAATATATACATACCTCAAATACCACGCCTGTTAACAAACACCACCACTAAGTTCAAATTACTATAAATTATGATTATAATATCTGCATAAATTAAAGATGTAAATAGTTATAAATATTTTGTAAATAGGGTAGGGCTACATTGTTGTGTCCCTGGGCGGGGGGTGGTTTTGGTTTGGGCCACTGTATAAAAAGAGGAGGATTCCATTTGAACGGTGTGTTCCTGTTGTGTGCCTGGGGGGATGCTGCCCAAATAAATAAGACATCTTTTGTGCAAATCTGCAACATTTGGACCTCTGTTTGTTTCCTGTCCTGGTGAGAGGCTGTCCCAGTAGCTTAAGCGCTACACGTGGTGTCAGAAGTGGGATCGTCGTGCCAATCTGCTGAGACTCACAGGACGAGGATGGGGCCGAAAAAGGTACCAAAACCCGCAGAACCGGAAATCACCCCAGATAGTGATTCCGAAGGGGGCGGAGCTGCTGGAGGAGAGCCCGCCAAGGCAGAGACACTTATGGGTGCAGACTCCGAAACCCTAGTTTGCATGTTGCGAAAATGTCTTACGTTCCAGTCTGACCTGAGCAAGCGTTGGAATGAAGAAACGCAGAAGCAGGAGGAACGATGGCAGGAGATGGAGGTACAGGTTCACCGACTCAGAGAGGGCCTGACCGAAGTTGCGAGGCGTGGTCCTCAACACCCCCATGTACTTCAACAGGAAGAAGTGGAGCCCCAATCTCCCACGCTACGGGAGCATTCGGGGAGAGGCTGGGCCCAGTCAGTGATTCCAAAGCTAGAGGACGGTGATGATATTGAGCAATATCTCACCACGTTTGAACGCCTAGCGACCGCATATCAATGGCCAGTGGTCGAGTGGGCAGTGAGGCTCGTCCCTTATCTGACGGGAAGGGCCCGGGCAGCCTATGTGGCCATGGATTGTGAGGAATCCTGCAACTACAAGAAGGTGAAGGAGGCAGTTTTGATAAAGTACGAGATAAATGAAGAGGTCTATCGCCAGCGCTTCCGTGAGCCAGACCTGCAGCCGGGGGAAACTCCAAGAGAGTTTTATAATCGCCTCAAAGACTTATATTTGAAGTGGATGCAGCCGGAGAAAAAGACGAAGGAGCAACTTGGTGAAGCCCTTGTTTTGGAACAGTTCTATCGTTCACTATCACCAGAGCTGAGGGTCTGGGTGAGTTTGTGGGACCAAGTATTGGCATATCCTGTGTTCATGGGGATCACAAGATTTATCCGACCGCCATAGTGTATGTTGAGGTGGCGGGGCAAACGTATCTGCTAACAGTGGGGGTAGTCTCCAACCTAGCCCACCAGGTTATCTTGGGGCAGGACATTCCCATTTTGACAGACCTCGTTCAGTCTTGTAAACCTGTCTGTCTGGTGACCAGGTCACAAAGTATGGCAAAAGGGGGGCCTGGGGGAGACAGGAAGGCTGTGCAGAGGGAGCCTGAAGTACCGGCTTTGGGTCAGCCAAACAAAGAACCCAGTCAGACAGATAACAATGGCCTATGTCATTTGCCTTTTTTTGACTCTGAGGTACCAAACACTGGCACTTTCAAGCCCAGAAAAAGTAGGTGCCAAAAGAGAAGGGAGAAAATGACAGGTACAGCTAAAATGTTGGCAGAGCATGTACCAAAGCCTGAGAAAGCAGATAACATGTCTGTGGATTTTTTCCAGCTCCAGAGGCAGGATGAGTCATTGCAAGAGGCATTCAGGGAAGCACAAAAGCAGTCCATTAACACATCCCAGACTGAAGGTTATGTCATGAGGGAGGGTTGGCTGTTTCACCATTCTGGGGACACTCAAACGGAGAGGTTAGTGGTTCCACGGTCCTTGCGTGAACAGGTGCTGGAGTTGGGGCATAACATACCGTGGGCGGGTCATTTGGGGTCCAAGAAGACTTATGACAGGATAGCCAGTAGGTTTTATTGGCCAGGACTTCAAGCCCAGGTGCAGAAATACTGTCAATCATGTCCAACCTGCCAGCTATCTGCTAACAAAAATATCCCAAAGTTTCCCCTACAGCCACTTCCCATTATTGATGTTCCTTTTAGCAGAATAGCTATGGATATAGTGGGACCGCTAGATCGGACACAAGCAGGTAATCGGTTTATCCTGGTTATTTGTGATTACAGTACACGTTACCCTGAAGCTTTCCCGTTAAGAGATGTGACGGCTAGGCAAATCGCCCATTGTCTCCTCCAACTGTTCTCTAGGGTAGGCATTCCCTCAGAAATATTGACAGATCAGGGAACTAATTTTATGTCTAACACTCTTCAGCAAGTTTACCGGTTATTGGGTATTAAGGGAATCCGGACCACCCCCTACCATCCCCAGACTGATGGACTTGTGGAGAGATACAATAGGACTATGAAAAGCATGCTAAAAAAAGTGGTGTCAATCAGTGGAAAAGACTGGGACAAATGGTTGCCTTATTTAATGTTTGCTTACCGTGAGGTTCCTCAGGCTTCCACAGGGTTCTCGCCCTTCGAGCTCCTCTACGGCAGGAAGGTGAGGGGTCCCCTGGACGTGTTGCAAGAGTCTTGGATCGGCAAAAAGGTGGAGACTTCCAACATACTCTCCTATGTCCTCGAAATGCGGGATAAGATGGAGCGGACAACGAAGCTGGTGAGGGGAGAGATGGAGAAGGCACAGCTCAACCAGAAAACGTGGTATGATCGTGCGGCAAGGCAGAGGGTCTTCTCACCAGGTCAGCAAGTTCTTTTATTGTTGCCTACTTCAGAGAATAAGTTACTCGCAAAGTGGAAAGGACCTTACAAAGTCTTAAGAAAGCAAAGTGACACTGTTTATGAGATAGAAATCCCAGAAAGGAAAAACTCAAAACAAACTTTTCACATTAACTTGCTAAAGGAGTGGAAAACCTGCGACCCAATTCCTTGTTCACAGTTCTATGTCAGGGCGGTGAAAGAGGAAGACGAGGAGGGTGAGTTTACCCCAGCGAGGCCCACTTCAGCCAAAATTGACCTGTCCCATCTCTCTTCCTCACAGCAACAAGAACTGGCAGCCATTTTTCCCCCGGGTCTTTTCCAAGACAAGCCAGGGTCCACAAACTTGGTGCAACACCATATTCATCTGATCGACAAGACTCCGATACGGCAGCGGATGTATCGTATCCCGGAGAGGATGGTGCCCGTGCTCTTGGAGGAGATTGAGGTCATGCTTGAGCTGGGAGTAATAGAGCCTTCAACCAGTGAATGGAGTAACCCAGTGGTCCTGGTTATCAAGAAAGATGGAAGTATCCGGTTTTGCATTGACTTCCGCAAGGTAAATGCACAATCAAAGTTTGATGCCTATCCTCTGCCCAGGCTTGACGACCTCATAGAGCGGGTGGGTCAGGCCCAGTTTGTGAGTACGCTGGACTTGTGCAAGGGGTACTGGCAAGTCCCTCTCACGGATGCTGCCAAGCCCCTCACAACCTTCAGGACCCCTCATGGACTGTGGCAATTTACAAAAATGCCCTTTGGACTCCACGGAGCTCCTGCCACATTTCAAAGGCTAATGAACAAAGTCTTGTCAGGAATGGAGTCCTTCTCGGCAGCCTACCTTGATGATGTTCTGATTTACAGTAACTCTTGGGAGGAACATCTCCAACATTTAGGGGCTGTCCTGCAACGAATCAATCAGGCGGGCTTGACGGCAAACCCACGAAAATGCTCCCTGGCCAGGCAAGAACTGCAGTACCTGGGCCATATCTTGGGAGGTGGAGTGATACGGCCTGTGAAGGACAAAGTGGAGGCGGTGAGGGTGGCTGCCAGACCAACCACCAGAAAGCAGGTCCGCTCATTCCTAGGCCTAGTGGGTTGGTATCGGCGTTTCATCTGGAATTTCTCAGCTCGGGCTGCCCCTCTCTCTGACCTCACCAGTGCTAGCCAGTCAAAATTTGCTTGGGGAGAGGAACAGGAAAGTGCTTTCCAAGACCTGAAAAATGCACTTTGTCATGAGCCTGTTCTCCAGAGCCCGAACTTCAGCCTGCCCTTCACCGTTCAGACGGATGATTCACTCAGAGGGGTCGGTGGAGTCCTGCTGCAAGGGGAAGGAGTAGACAAGAGACCGGTGGCTTATGTGAGCAGAAAACTGTTCCCAAGGGAGATGCGCTATTCGACTGTGGAGCTGGAGTGTTTGGCCATTAAGTGGGTGATTGACTCCCTCAAGTACTACCTCCTGGGGCGGGAGTTCACCCTCGAAACAGACCATCGAGCCCTCCAATGGCTGGAGTCTATGAAGGATACCAACAGTCGGATCACAAGATGGTTCTTGTCTCTCCAGCCCTACCGATTCAACATTAGCTATTTGCCGGGGAAGCAAAACACCGTGGCAGACTTCCTGTCCCACGGCCAGGAGGTCGTGTCTTCCGAAGGGGGAGGAAATGTGAAGGAGTAGTTCCCACTCCTCACCCACAGGTGTATCCTTCCTGTTTTATTTTGAAATATTTAGCTTTGTTTATATTCCCTGTCCCTAACTTTCCCTTTTCCCCTCTTGGAAGGTGATTGGTGGAGGAGCTGGCTGGAGGCGCGCCCATCCCAGTGCATGCCAGGTGCACCCAACTGAGCAATCAGCTGGGCTCCACCATGATCCTCCAAGAGAGGGGTGTTTCATTGGGACTAAACATAATATATACATACCTCAAATACCACGCCTGTTAACAAACACCACCACTAAGTTCAAATTACTATAAATTATGATTATAATATCTGCATAAATTAAAGATGTAAATAGTTATAAATATTTTGTAAATAGGGTAGGGCTACATTGTTGTGTCCCTGGGCGGGGGGTGGTTTTGGTTTGGGCCACTGTATAAAAAGAGGAGGATTCCATTTGAACGGTGTGTTCCTGTTGTGTGCCTGGGGGGATGCTGCCCAAATAAATAAGACATCTTTTGTGCAAATCTGCAACATTTGGACCTCTGTTTGTTTCCTGTCCTGGTGAGAGGCTGTCCCAGTAGCTTAAACGCTACACCCTCCCACTCCATTTCAGACATTTTTTAAAAGACTCCAGCCGCAGGTTGCTGACCCCTGGTTTATACAGCATGGAAGAAAATACTAGAGGATCAGGATATGTGCAGTTTCAACAATTGAAATAAAGTGCAATAGTCTACATTACAAGAGAGTAATAAACATGTCTCAGAGTGAGGGAGGTGGACACAGACACTATTGTTTATTACAAGGATGAGAATTGGTCAAAAAAGTCTGAAATTCATAATGCCAGCCATTGTCTGTCACTAAATCTGTTTGATTTGTTCACAACATTTTACTACATGGGCTCAAATATTAACTTTTAATGCAATGGAAAATTTAGGTACCTGAGCTTTAATTTAGTCGCTCTTCGAGAGGAGAGACGCGGACTGTTTCCTGCAGCGGTGTATTTATTGGGTGAACAGATTACACAAAGAAATGCGTGGTCCTGTGCGCGTTTATGGTCTTGGGTATATGGTCACGTTGAGGCTACGCGCTCACCGTGTTGTGTTGTGAGCGGATCTCGTGGTTCCCGCGTCCAGCTCAGAGCCGCTGGATGCTTGAACCGCTCATTACAAAGCGGCCACAGCTGTCTCGGAACACTGTGGCCGCTGAGGTGGCGGAATCCCGTCCGAGTATACAGCAGTTGGCCGCGGACATGCGCGCCCCCCCTCAAACATTTTTCACAAACATGTTTTTTGTATGAAGCAGACAG